CACCTCTTAAATGTAGGTACTTTCTGCATGTTAGAGAAGGGCAAACCAAGCCAGAGGAATACAGTATGTGATATGAGGTCCTAAGAGTCTGTCGTTGATCCAGCAATAGACATAAGCCAAATAATATCTAGTAAATGCAAAGTGCTACAAAATTAGAACTATACTCATTCTGTACTGACATGAATGACTACACAGTGAGTTAGGTAAGGCAGACTGAGACTCCACATCTCTCAGCTTGTATCCTTATACTTGCACACTGGTACACGCTCTGTTAGCCTTATAAAAACTGCCCATAGCTTTACATTTGTAAAAACAGAATTTATGCCAGTCTCATTTTACCTAATGTAACTATAAGGGAGTTCCACATTTTGCAAGTCTCTATTTTACGCCATGTAAACTTCCAGCTTGGACTGAAGATTTCTCCTCAAGGAGATGAAACAAAGGGTATAAGTGATGTGAAGTGAAAAAGGATAGACATAAAAATGCCTTGTTCTAAATTTGTACATGTATAAAAAAAAAAAAAATGCCTCGTTCCAAACTTCTACATGCATAACCTTTCCACTTTCCTTATTATAAGATGGAGTAGGCCTTTGGAACCAAACTGCAAGTTACTGCACCTTAGGAACTAATTTGTGCATTCTAACTGAAATTCTATACGTTAGCCATATATTCTATATTTTTCTGTAAGGGGTGACACTGACCTCAGAGGAGTTGGGAGAATTCATTAGTTAGCATGTACTCAATACTTTAAAAGTGTCAAAGCACATTATTGTATTTCAGGAAAAGTTGATTGGGCCTTCCAGGCCCTATTTTAACAAGGCCTAGTAAAGCTGGACTTTAGTGCCAGTTATTATTAAGGTTGCTCAATACTTCCCATTAGAAGACTTTTCAATTGCCTATTACCTTGCCAAACATCAACTGCTGCTGATGGAGTTTTACATGCTGGGCGGTTGCCTCATAGTGAATATTTTGGAAAGTTTTAGCTATAGCAGTTCCAACAATTAGACTAAGAAAAAATAGGTTATTTTTATTTTCCTCATGTTAGAAAATTCTGGCAATCTTTCCTTTGAAAAATTCTTCCTTTGAAATAGGGACTTGAAATTTGACAAGGGTGACCTTTGTCAAGCCGTTTTCCCTGTAGATCTGCCAAAATTTTGGCCCGGATAGTAGTTTGCAAAAACTGAAGTTTGTATAATCCCAACAGGGATTTTTATCAACTAAAATTTCCACAGATTCTGATCTAACTGAGCATGTTAGAGTTTCTCTCAGCTCCTAGTCCGAATCAGATACGCATGCCGTTGCCATAAAAAGACAGAATATGCTCTGGGCCAGGGAGCCCAGAAGTATTTCCTCTTGAACAGAGGATCCCAGCTAGGCCTGTAGCTAGGCACAGTATCCATGTGGCAGCAGGGAACATGGCTTTCCTGTGCTCTGAATAGCTCCCACCCAGGAGCCCATCCTGCAATGCTCAGGCTGTGAAGGAGAAGAACCTATATGACTCTGAGGGCCCCTCTCCTTGTACAGGTAAAGGCACAATTGGATCTAATGCAGAGGTTCTCAAACTGTGGTCTGCTGACCACCACTGGTCCACAAGCTTTATTCAGGTGGTCTGCAGAAAGGTGACCTAAGGCTAAAGCTGACAAACATTACACCTGACTTCCCAGAACTTTACTCAGAAAAAACAGGCACACCCATTGCATTAGAAAGGTAAGACTACTGATATTAAAATATGAGTTGCGTGCTTTGATTTGTAGAACAAAAATGTTTATTAAGTGGTCCACTGAGACCCTCAGCAATTTTCACGTGGTCTGCGGAAAAAAAAAGTTTGAGAACCACTGATCAAATGCATTATCCACACAGTTGCACCTCCTGCCATGCCACACATGCATGGCAGGAAGCACAGGATCTATCGTCAGATTCTGTTGTGCCTTATTCCTGGTACAGAGACAGCCTGGGATCAGTAAATATCCTGGATTCCCACTGCACTGGCAAATAGCAAGCTCCCACAGATGCAAATGCAGCAGCTGATGGGACTCTTAGCCTTGGCTGTGCCTCATGCGATGCTGGGGTTGAGATTCCCTCAGCTGATGTGCATGCAGTGCCCCTGCGGCTCAGAGACTTCAGTAGCTGCAGTCTCCCAGCTGGGTGGAGGGGGGGAAAGGACGGGGGTGGAGGCTACAGGTGCAAATTAAAGCTGGATAGAAACCAACTATGAATTTATTACACATTTTCCAACAATAACTTCATAGCTGGCTGGCCCTTTTAAGCCCCCATAATTTACATAGTTATCCAGTTAAGTTAATTTGCATGTTTAGCCAGTCTAAATTAATTGCATAATAGATGTAACATGTAGATGGGGCCTGAATGCAGAAGTGAAAAGGAGCAGACCGAGACAAAGACGATGAGGAGTCTGGAACTCTCTGAGCAAAAGGAGGCTGGGATTGAGAACTGGAACTGGCAGGGCAAGAAAAGCATAATGGTAGTGCCTTCTATTTTTTATATCTTTATTTGCAGTGTAACCATTGCATTGCTGCTTGAGATTATGCACCAAGGTAACTGCTTGGTATACAATTATTTATGTAAACACCTGCTCAAAGGTCACCACTCAGCTGCTTGCTGGAAAGCAGTTGAAGCAACTGTCAAGGTAATAGACATTTTTTTCCTTGTATGACTAGTTGTTGAATGTTTCAGATATGCAAGGTTATATCTGACCTTTGCACTTTATCCTTCTTCCAATTTCTCTTCCTTGCCAGCAAAGTGTGAGGCCTCAGCATGCAGTCACCAGTTGAAGGTGGTACAGTAAGAGGCCAAAATTGTTCCATTTAAAGGTGATTGAATTTGTGTGTGTGTGTGTGTGTGTGTGTGTGTGTGTGTGTGTGTGTGTGAGAGAGAGAGAGAGTACATATCAAATTTTAAACAGCTTTGATTAACTGTGAGGGAATGTGAGAGAACAAATTAATGTGGCTTATAAATGGATTGAGATTTATCTGATAGAAAAAGTGCTTCTCCATATAAAGGCACCTATTTAGCTGCTGAGTTTCCCTCCTAAGCAGCAGCTTAATCTAAGTAAATTGTGAATTATGGTACTTTCTAATTTATGTAACTGATTCCATCCCTCCTATGTATCAGGAAAAACCTAGCAAAATCTATTCACTATAAAATGCTAATTTTCCATTTCCTGGGTTAAGAAACCATTTTATTAAAGGCCTTCTCTTGGGGGAGCAGGGGGATAAAGTCAGCTACATAGCAAGTGCATGCGTTGGCATTTTCCATTTTTAATCTCCAATCTTTCCAGTAGGGGGACCAGACATCATTCCCTTCCTCCTCTCCACCACTGCAAGATTTTTAGAATCAGTAGCTGTTTGTTGTATACTGGTTTGTTGCTGTTGTATTTCAAATATTGGTTTCTCAGTTGTAATTTCAAAGTTTACATTAAAGCAGATAACAATGGACAAAATGCCAAGCAGCTAAAAACTGAGTTATCTTCCCAGGAAATGCCTCCTCCCTGCAAGCCAACTGTACAAATATAAAGTTACAGTAAAAAATAGCCCTAAATTAATAAGATGCATACTGGACAAACAGTCCTTCCAGCTCCTGTGCCTTGCGTGACATCTAATTTGGAGTACAGTCCTACAAAAACATTACTAGTAGCCATAGTGTACATTATGAGTCAATTCATTGAAAGTCCCACAATTGGAAACAATTGGTAGCAGGATCCAACTTTTTAGATTGCAAGACAGCATTGTTATTGGCTTATTTAGTGTAAAGAACTGCGCACATCTGTAGCACCATTTTATTGATAATACTCTTTCATTCTACATAGAACTTTTCATCCATAAAAACTATCTTATGACACATTTGTATGAAATCTGCTTCATATGCTGTCTTCTCCCCACCTACTGTAACAAAATCTTACTAAACAATCATGTGATATACAGCCTAGGTATTTGTGTATTCCCAATTTACAATAATATTCCCATAAAACAATTTATTTTTGCTCAAGGCAAGAGAATTATAAAAACATACAGAGTTAATCAACCTTATCTAGCCATACATCTTCAGATACATAGTTGTTGACCAGTGTTACCCACTTCAGGAAATTCACATCTGGAAGGACCTATTTTCCAAAGATCTCAAGAGTAGATTTTCAGCTGCTTAATATCCACAACTCGGACCAGACTTGCAAAGAACTCAACCCAAAATTAGGTGCCTAAGCTCGCTGGGGGATGGGTGGACAACCACCACAGCAAGCTCACCAAGCATCAACCACAAAACCAGAAGGATAGGATGCTCAAGGAAACCCACTCCTACCCTAGCCCAGGAACAGAGCTTCTCCATGAGTACAAGGAAACCTAGGGCCTCCAACAGCACACTTACGTGTCTGTACACTAATGCTAGGAGTTTGGGGAATAAACAGGAGGAACTGGTCCTTCTGCTAAACAGATATGACTATGATCTCATAGGGATCACAGAGACTGGTGGGACTCCTATGACTGAACTACCGGTATATGACTATACCTTGTACAAGAGAGATTGTGCTGAAAAAGGGACAGGGGTGTAGCTCTCTGTGCAGGAGAGCTACACGTATCTACAAGCTGAGATTGGCACCCAAGGACATGGGTGACTGGTGCCTCTTGAGCCGGAGGTGGCATGGCTGCTTTGGATGTTGGCCCTGCTCCTCGCCGGCACTCACGGCGGGGGGGGGGGCACCAGTGCTCCCACCTGCCCCCCCATGCCCGTCTCCTAAACGGGGAGCGTGGCCTGACAGGGGTTACACCAGCACTCTCAGGGGGTGCATGTGCACCCCCATGCACCCCCTACACATCACCACTGCCCAAGGAAGATGACTGGAGACTCTTTGGGTTAGAATATGAGGGGAACATAGTGAAGGGGATACAATGGTAGGAGTCTACTACAGACCTCCAAACCAGGAACAAGTGCTTGACCAAGAATTCACCAGGGAACTGGCTGAGGCTGCATGCTGTCAGTGCATGCTCGTCATGGGAGACTTCAACTACCCAGACATCTCATGGGATAAACACTTGGCCAAATCCGATCGGTCACAAAGTTTCCTTACATGTGTGGATGAGCACTACCTGGCCCAAGAAGTTTATGGACTGACAAGGGGCAAGGTGCTGCTGGACATTGTTCTGGCCAAAGGGAATGATCTAATCAGTGACCTAAGAATCAAATGGAAGTGGGGTGACAGTGATCATGAGTTCATCACTTTCACTATACATTGCAAAGCTGGCAAGTCAGCCAGCAATGCAGTAGTCCTTGACTTTAGGAAAGCTGACTTTTATAAGCTCAGCAGGCTTGTTCTTGAGGCCCTGAGAGGCCTTGATTTCACAGGGAGAGGAGTTCATGATGAGTGGTCACTCCTTAAGGAAGTGACCCTAGAAGCACATGGGGAGTCTATCCCCACCTGCAGGAAAGGTGTTAAAAGGGCTCAACAACCCCTTGGCTTAACAGGGAACTCATGGACTTCCTACATATATAAAGAGAATGGAGGGCAGGAAACACCACTAAGGAGGAGTATGCTGCAGGGAGTGAACTAGAAAAGCCAATGCTACAACTGAACTCCATCTAGCTACACAAATCAAGGACAATAAAAAGTCCTCCTTCAGATATGTGGGGAGTTAAAAGAAAAGCAAGCGCAACATTGTACCCCTGGCTAAACCAGCTGGGGCAGCTGACTACCGACACCCAGGAAAAAGCCAATCTGCTTAATGATTGCTTTGCATTGGTTTTTCACCAGCCCAAAGGGACCACGTTGTCTAATGATGCAGGATGACCAGGATGAAGACGAATATATGCCCATCATTGGCGTGGATCTTGTGAGGGAGCATCTTGAGAGGCTGGACCCCCATAAATCAGCTGATCCAAATAGTTGCACCCAAGAGTGCTAAAGGAACTGACAGACATCATAGCACAGCCACTGGTGAGGATATTCGAGAATTAGTGGTCCTCAGGTGAAGTATCTGAAGATTGGAAGAGTGTGCCCATCTTCAAGAAAGGTAGGAAAGAAGACCCAGGAAACTACAGGCCAATCAGTTTGACCTCAATCCCTGGGAAGATTTTGGAAAAATTATCAAAGAAACCATTCCTGACAGGCTAACAAGGCAGCATTCTGAGGGATAGTCAGCACAGGTTTGTTGCAGGTAGGTCTTGCCTAACCAACCTCATTTCTTTCTATGACCAGGTCACATATCACCTGAACAAAAGGAAAGGTTTATGTCATATATTTGGACTTTAAAAAGCCTTTTTACCTGGTGTCCCATGATGTCCTCATGGAAAAATTGGGCAACTGCGGCCTCGACTCCTCCACAGTCCAATGGCTGGGGAACTGGCTCCAAGGTCAGACCCAGAGAGTGGTCGTTGACAGAACTGAATCAACATGGCAGTCGGTGACTAGTGGTGTCCCCCAAGGCTCCGTTCTCAAACCTGTACCTCTTTAATGTCTTTATAAACGATCTGGACGCTGCAGTCAAAAGCGGACTGGCCAAGTTCGCTGATCACACCAAACTTTGGGGAAGAGTCTCCACACTTGAGGACAGACTGCTGATCCAGGCTGACCTTGATAAGCTTGCAAGGTGGGTGGCTGAAAACCTGATGGCATTCAATATGGAGAAATGCAAGGTGTTCCACCTTGGGAATAAAAACCCGCATCATACTTATAGGCTCACCAATGCTACACTTGCTAGCACCATGACTGAAAGAGACTTGGTGGTCATGATTGACCACAAGATGAACATGAGTCACCAATGCGATAACACAGCTGGCAAAGTGAGCAAAACTCTGTTTTGTTTCTACAGATGCATTTTGAGCAAGACCCAGGATGTCATCCTCCAGCTTTACTTGGCCTTAGTGAGGCCGCAGCTAGAGTAGTGCATCCAGTTCTGGGCTCCACAATTTAGGAAGGATACGGAGAAGCTTGAAAGAGTCCAGAGGAGAGCCACATGCATGACCAGAGGGCAAGAGAACAGGCCTTATGAAGAAAGGCTGTGAGCTATGGGACTCTTCAGTCTGGAGAAGCACAGGCTCAGGGGTGACTTGGTGGCAGCCTATATGTACATCGGGGTGTGCATCAGGATCTGGGGGAACACCTGTTCACCAAAGCTCCCCAGGGGATGACAAGGTCCAACGGTCACAAACTCCTGGCAGACTGTTTTAGACTAGACATAAGGAAAAACTTCTTTACTGTCCAAGGACTGGAAAGAAACTCCCCTCAGAGGTGGTGCAAGCACCTACTCTGGACACTTCCAAGAAACATTTGGATGCTTATCTTGCTGGGGTCCTTCAACCCTAGCTGACTTCCTGCCCCTTAGGCAGGGGGCTGGACCTGATGATCTTACCAAGTCCCTTCCAGCCCTAATGTCTATGAAATCTATGAAGGATGTCAGTGTCAAAAGTGCTCAGCACCTGGTAGCTCCAGTTGTGACTTACAGATTTCTTGAAATCATGTAAACTATTGATTTTTCTTGCCTTTTATAAGAGAAACAGCTCCACTTATGAAATTTGCTCTTTTTAGTCAAATGAAACTTGCAATCATTGTGATCACAGTATTACTGCATGTGTAAAAATAAATCCTTCTCATGAAGCAAAATGTTAGATATACATGGAGATGGGAGCACATACCCTGTGTTCTAATTTTCAAATACAAAATAACATAAGAGAAAAGAGACTTTATTAGAATTCACAAGTTTATATTCAGAATTAATGCGCTGCAAATTTCATAAGTTTAGTCTCCATCTGATCCTAACAGCCCAGAAGACTTGTAGTTAAGTTGCACCAGTTTATTGTGCAGCTAAAGACACAGAAATGAATGAAATGGCTAGCATGACATCTGGCTGCCTTTGCCTTGCATGCTCAAATGACCAGGTACCCATTTACAGTTGGGTCAGCTGATAGTGGAAGGCAGCCTTTAGCATGAGTCCAGGAAAGGCTTGAGCTTATGAGCCATAATGGAACACTGCTGTGCCACTGCACGTACAGTTCATGGGCAGAGAACTGATCTCCTTTATGCCATTAAAACTATTCTGACTTCTCCTATCCCACCTTATTGACACAGAGATACCTCAATATTCAGCCAAATTACTTTAGTTAAACCAAAGCATTTCAGTCCTCAGAAGGCCACAGAGACAGGACAGGAGACACCTACATAACATTAACAACCCAGGCTCCTGCAATAGCAAGAAAATGATTGGGCAAGGTATGCTCAGGTCCTAGCAAGTGATATATATTAGGAATGTGTGATTCAGATTCGGTCCGAATCAGAGATAGTGATTCAATTCATTGCTTCAGCCAAATCCAAATCTGAAGATTCAAGGCTTATTCGGAGAATCAGCAATTCAGACATAGACAGCTTTAAAAGTTTTTTCTACATGCCTTGAGGTAGCAGGTGTTGCGCGTGATCACTGCGATGTTGTGGTGCATGGAGTATCCCACTGGAGCGTGGGGGGGCCCTCCATGTGCTCAGTAGCGAACCTGGAAGCAGACCTGCCGGGAGCATGCTTACCCTCCCACATCCCCCCCAGCTAGGCGATCGGCTGCAGGGGGACCTCGGGTGCCCGCCCCCAGACCCAGGAGGCACCAGTCACTGAGCCAGGGGAGCATGAGGGGGGGGGGCTGTGCGTTCCCTGGCACACCCAGAAGTGGAAGTGCTTCTGATCCATATCTTGGTCTGCTGCCGAGCATGTGGGGAGCCCCCCATGCTTCTGTGGGCCACTCCATGTGCCCCAGCATTGCAGTACTCACAAGCCCCTGCTACCTAGATGCACGTAGAAAAAAAGCTTTATGTACGAATCTTTCCAAATCTCTCCGAATCTCTGATTCGACTTGGATTCGGAGATTCGGCCACTGAATCAGGCAGAATCTCTGCCAAATGCAACCAGGGACCAAAGCTTTGCACAGCCCTAATATATACACCATCCTGCAGATGAAAGGTACAAATTTCACCATGGTCCGCAACCATCTTAGCCAGGGAAAAATTCCTCCACCATCTCAGATCTGGCAGTCAGTTTTGACTGTATCATGAGAGGAAAATGAACCAATCAGTCATCTAAGAAAAAAGTTATCTGTAATCTCTCCATGCACCATGCATTCTGTTCAGAGTTGTATTTGCAAGAGAGACCAATCCTTAATGTTTCAAGGAAAAGAAAAAAGAAAAACCTCAGAATACACTGGCAAACTGGGTATTTGCAGGAAAAAAAATCCCTTCCTGACGCTTGCTAGTGAGCTGCAAGTGTTATAAGAAGGTTGAGGGCAATGAAGATAATTCTGTTCTCCCTAAGGCCCATGGAGGAAAGAATGAGCAGAAGAATTCACAGACCATATGGCTAGAAAGGGTTATGATGGCCATCCAGCTTGACTTCGTACACAAGCTGTTTATAGAATTTATCCCAGAAGCTAGAATAGATGTTATCTTAGACAAATTCAACTAGTCCTATTTTAAAGATGCCAAGTTAAAGTCCCCTATTTCAAGGTTGTATCTAACTTTAACCTCCAAATGTTGGATCTTGTTTTGCCTTTGTAAACAAGATGGGGCACCCTTCAAACATATTTTCAATGTGTAAATACCTATATATAGCAATGAGATCACATCCCACAGCCTCTGCTCCCCTACCTCCCTCTCCCCCGCCCCACCTTCCCCTTCCTCTGTGCCAGCAGATTCCATCCCCATTCTAGCATGCAAGAGAGGGGATGGTGGCATGAAGAGGTAGCAGGTGGGGGAGGGGGGGGGAGGACAGCCAGCCACTGTGGCTACAGCCCCAACCACAGGTAGGGACTGGAGTCTGAACACTTGATTCTAAGACAAGGGCCTTTTTTATCCATGTTAAATGGGAAAAGACCTCATCTTAGAACTGAGTAAATACAGTAACAATAGTGGTTCAGAGACCTCCTCAGCTAATTGCTTCAGGCCTCTTAAGTATGAGTTATGGAGACCTGTTGATCTGAAAATGATTAACTGGAGAAGAGATTGACTCATCCTCCTTTGCTACAGATGGTGCACTTCCAAATTCATTCACATAACTGTATAGATGGACAAATCTTCCTACTTTGTTCAAAATACAAGAATAAAATAGCGGTTGCACATTTTTGCCTTTCCTACACCAATAGTTACAATTTTGTGATACGAATTTGGCAAAAGACTATATATTTTTCCAGATGCGTTTAAAGATGCTCCTGTTTTAGGCCATCACCTATAAATAATTCATTAATTCCACACCATTTTTAGAATTGTTATTTATAAGCACTGCCATTTATTTTCCTTTGTTTCCAACTTTAAAAAATGTTTTATCACTGTTTCTGCATCTCCTTTTAACTAGGATGACTTTCTACTGAACCATCATCGTGTACTGTAACCAAGTTCGGCTCATATCCTCTTTATATGCACAAATTTAATCCAGTAAATATAGCTACGTGTCTGTTCCACAATTTAAGATCAACAAATGGAAATGAAACATTGTTTTTGTAAGCTAGATAAATGTTTTCTTTACATGAAAAGAATATCACATTCATTACTTTGTTTCCCAGTGGATATGAAAGGACTGGTTGTCATTTGTGTGCATGACACCTTGTGTGGGAAAAGCATTATGTAATGAAAACTTCCTTTCACCTAATCTAACATGGATGGAACTTTACAAGACAAACAAACAAACCCTAGTCAAAGTATTGTCAGGATTAATGATATTAATACAAATAGGACTAAGGCTGAAATAATGTACTAAAGAGACATGGGCTGAAAGCCATATTTACAGGATGGCCTGGAAAATGTGCAATCACTCCTAATGGAAAAATGATAAGAATTTGAAAGGAATTAAACTAATGGGTCTATAAAAGCTTAATAGTGTTCTTCAGACATTATGCTGTTTGTTTTTTTGACAGAAACAAAAATCTATGCAACTCAAGAAAACTACATCCTTTCCTTAAGTTTCTTGAACCTTTCAGTTTTTGGCATTCACTATAGCATCAAAAAGTCCTGATTGCTGGATTTGTTCCTGTAGTGTGGGATCTGATTAATCAGAATTTTGGTCACTGATTATAAGGAAGTTTTTATAACCTGTATGTGACGGCTGTATGTGTTATAGGGCTTGCTACCACTGCCCTGATCTCATCTGCCTACAGGCGGCGACACGGTGGACCTCGGCTTTGGATCACCTGGTCTGCCAGGAAGTTGGTCTTATGTTTTCTTGCCTGCCATGACTTTGATGAAATATATTCCCAGGAGGCACTGCCTGTGGTGATCCTGCCTGGTCTCGATCCCTGTTTCTTCTGTGAGGCTCCAAACGTCCCCTTTACCCCAACCTAGCTTCTCCAGAAGGTACTCACAAAATTCTTCTGCAGTCAGGCCGCAGTGCTGCCTGTTGTGGTATTATTTGGCCCTCTACCCCAGGGTGACCTTGGTCTCGATTAGGTACACCCTTCCAGGACTGGTCCTGGCCTGTGCTCAAAAATAAAAAAAGGAAAGGAAAAAAAACCCAAGGAAAACCCCAGCTGCTCTCAGCCTCCTTGTCGGGCTCAGTCCATGTCCCCTTTTACGCGGGATCAGGTTCTTACAATCCCAATCGCAACGATCAAGCAAATCCCTTAGTCCAGTCTTTCTTATGCACCGGCCTGCCCTGCACCCCTATGAATGTTCACAGTCTCCTTGGGGTCTCCCCCATGTGCAGAAAGGCTCTACCTGTAACTGTAGTTTCCCTTAGGCCCCTCCTCCAGATCCTCTATTGAAAACTCCGCTCTGGAGATTATCAAAGGCCTTGTGGACTCCCTCTGTCCGGATCCTCAGCTGTGGCTCCGCTTGGGAGATTATCACCAGTTGTGTGTGTGCAGGCCTCCCTCTGCCTCCTGCTCAGGGTTCCTCTGGCAAGTTCTGCAGCCTTTGCCTGCCAGAGGCTCAGCCGCTCCTCTCACTGCAGCCTGCAGGGGACTGACCCCGCTTTGCCCCTCTCCGGGGCCAGAACTACCTCTGGGCAGCCTCCCTCCTCCAATCCTGAGCAAGATGCTGCTCTGGAAGTATGGTAGGTGTTTTCCTTCCCTTCCGGTCTCCAGCTGCAGCCCTGCCAGCCCTCCATGCTGTGAGTTTTGTCTCACTCCTTCACACTGTATTTATCCATGTGGAGGGCATTCAAAATTTCTTTTAATTTTAGCCACTGTTGCTTATTATGGTGCTGGAAGTATTAAGAGACCTATATTTTTGGCCTATATTTTGGACTCCTGTTCGTCATGTCTAGAGGAGACCAACAGGAAGCAACTTTGTTTTTTAATGGTGGAAATTCCCTTTACTAAATTTCTCAGGTAGGTTCTGCCTCATTTTAAGGGAGTGTCTGGCAGGGCATTATATAGGAGCTTTTGCAATTCTGGTGAAACTTTGTAATTCACATCTCTTCTCTGTTCCAAAAGATCCTCCGTTTGCCAACATTCAGGCCTCATTGCATGGTGTGTCCATCTTCTCAAGCTTTGGATTGGTATGTTCAATAAAAGGAAGTGCATATTTAACAACATACCCTACCAGGGGATACAAACATTCTGCCACTGGTACATCTTTATTGTTAATACAGCATTCCCCATATGTTGTGCACTGTGGAAAATTGTGACTTTTGTCAAAATCCAAGATTTTGTTGAGGAACTACACAGCATCACAGTTCAGGGCTTCCTGCACTTTTGTCCCCTCTCTGGGTCTCTGAATGCATCACCTTCTGGTAGGGCTCTGCAAAATGGCTATGTTTTGATTTGGTTTTGGATTCGGCTGTTTCGGGAGGACAGTGATTTGTTTCAGTATTTCGGATCACTGTTCCGTTTCGATTCAGCCAAATCAGTTTTGGAATTTCAACACTGTTTTGGTGATTCCGCCATAAGCTATAATGGGGAATCACTAAAATGCCTATAACATTTTCATTTCTTACCTGATTCGGATGACAACTGCAGGGATGGTAGCCTATTCTGAGGACATGAACTTGCCAGATTTTAAGGAGATTGGTGCAGCGGTTTCTGTGAAACTGCACCTCAAACTGTTCAAAGCAAAACTTGTATCACTTGCCGGCAGCAGCAGCATGCTGTCATCCCGCATGCAAATCTGTGGGCCCAAGACCCCTGGGAAGGCTGCGGGGCTGTGCCAGACTCCTCCCAGGGGGTGCGAGCCCCCCATATCCATGTGTGGGATGACAGCAGGCTGCCACTGCCAGCTGGGACCGGTGCTTAGTGCAGCCCATACCAAGTGCCGGGAAGACTGGTACTGCCACTGGCCCCAGCTGGCAGCAGCAGCAGCAGCATGTTGTCATCCCGCGTGCAGGTCTGGGGGCCTGTGCCCCCTGGGAGGGCTGCAGGACTGTGCCAGACTCCTCTTGGGGGGCATGGGCCCCCGGATCTGTACACAAGATGATAGCAGGCTGCCGTCCCTCCCCCAGAGCACTAGGACTGGAAGGGACCTCAGGGACAGATCACAGACACTGGCCAGCTACAGATGTCAATATCAGAGCAGTCCTTCCCCCTTTTCTCACTCCCTCTTCTTAGTTTCTATTTCCCTGCAAGCCCAGCTCCGAAGCTCTGAAATTTTCCAAAATGTTTTGGATGGTTTCATTTCAGAGATATTTCAGAGCCTTCTGTTTCATTTCAGGCTTGGGGTGCCAAGACCTGGAAGGGTGTGGGCAGTGGGGTCCCGCAGGCCTCGGTCCTTGGACCGATACTCTTTAATGTCTTCATCAGCAACTTGGATGAGGGAGTGAAATGTACTCTGTCCAAGTTTGCAGATGACACAAAGCTATGGGGAGAAGTGGACACGCCGGAGGGCAGGGAACAGCTGCAAGCAGACCTGGACAGGTTGGACAAGTGGGCAGAAAACAACAGAATGCAGTTCAACAAGGAGAAATGCAAAGTGCTGCACCTAGGGAGGAAAAATGTCCAGCACACCTACAGCCTAGGGAATGACCTGCTGGGTGGCACGGAAGTGGAAAGGGATCTTGGAGTCCTAGTGGACTCCAAGATGAACATGAATCAGCAGTAGGCATCTGACGAAGCCATCAGAAAAGCCAATGGCACTTTATCGTGCATCAGCAGATGCATGACGAATAGGTCCAAGGAGGTGACACTTCC